GGGGGACCCCAGACCCCCCCCCCGAGCCCCAAACCAGCGCCCCCAGGAGCAACAAAATCGGGGAAAATCTGACCCAAGCCCCTCGGATTTGGGGTGAAAACGTCGGATTTGGGGTGAAAATGTCGGATTTGGGGCTGGAAGCTCAGCAGGAGATGAAAACTGCCCGGGTGGGACCCAAAACCCCCAGATCTGAGCCCAAATCTCAGGTGAGAGGGAAAAAAATCCTCATTTTGGGGGTTGGAAACGTGGGGCTGAAAGTCTTCAGTTTTAGGGTGAAAATCCCTGAGTTTTGTAAAAAAATCCCCAATTTGAGGCTGCAAATCTCCAGTTTTAGAGGAAAAATTTTCAGTTTTACCTCAGTAACCTCAAATTTAGATTTAACCTCCCAATTTTGGGTTAGAACTGCTAACTTTGGGTGAATTTTGGGTTGAAATTGGTAATTTTGAGGTGAAACATCCCATTCTGGGGGTTGGTAATAGAAATTCCAGGCTGAAAATTCCAATTTTGGGCTGAAAACCTCCAGTTTTGGGGCTGAAAATGCCAAATTTGGAATAAAAAGACTGACTTTGGTGCCAAAAATGAGAATTTTGGACCAAAAAAATCTCCAAGTTTTGTTATTGGGGTCAAAATTCTCAGTTTGGTGTCTGAAAGCCCCAAGCTGGGAGTGAATTTGCAATTTTGGGTAAAACTGCCTCATTTCAGGGTAAAACCACCCAGCTTTGGGACTCAGCTCCATTGCTCCTCAAAACCCAATTTTATGTCCTATAAATGCAAAATTTGGGGCTCAAATTCCTTTGGTTTGTTGCCAAAAAATGAAATTAGGACTGAAAAATCCCCATTTTGATGCTAACATGGTGAATTTCAGGCTGAAAATCCCAAATTTTGCCTGAAAATGATGAATTTTACCCAAAAACCTCAAATTTTGGGCTGAAACCTCTGAACTTTGGTCCAAAGATCTCAAATTTTAGGTTGAAAACCCTGAATTTTACCCTGAAATTCAAAATTTGTTGCTCCTCACTCGGGTTTTTTCTCTAAAATGCTCTTTTTTGGGTATACTAAGGCCTAAAAATATTCAATTTGGGGCTTCAAATCCCTGTTCTGCTGCCGAAAAAAGTGACCTTGAAGCAAGAAATCCCCAATTTTTACTTCAGAGCCTAAAATCTCTTGCTGAAAACCCTGACTTTTGGTCAAAACTGACAAATTTTAGGCTCCAATTCTTTTTTTTTTTCCTTGAAACCTCAAATTTTGGGGCTCAAAATGCCAAATTCACTGTTCAAACCTCCAATTTTTTTCAAAAACCAAAATATTTCAGGCTGAAAATTGCAAATTCTGAGCTGAAAACTTCAAATTTGAAGCTGAAAGCCCTGAAATTTTGGGTAAAAGCCCTGGATTTGGGGTGTCAGCCCCAATTTTGGCCCCAAACCCCTGAGTTTGGGGTGTCAGGCCCGGAATTTGGGGTGTCAGGCCCTCATTTTGGGCCAAAAGCCCTGAATTTGGGGTGTCAGCGGGGAATTTGGGGTGTCACTCCCAACTTTGGGGTGTCATTCCCGGCTTTGGGGTGTCAGTCTGGAATTTGGGGGTCAGTCCCCAGTTTTGGGTTGAAAACTCCGAATTTGGGGTGTCACTGTGGAATTTGGGGTGTCCCTCCCGGTTTTGGGGTGTCTCTCTGCATTTTGGGGTGTCCCTCCTGGTTTTGGGGTGCCATTCCCCATTTTGGGGTGTCCATCTCGGTTTTGGGGTGCCAGTGTGGAATTTTGGGGTGTGTCTCCCGGTTTTGTGTTGTCTCTCTCCGTTTTGGGGTGTCTCTTCCAGTTTTGGGGTTTCTCTCCCCATTTTGAGGTGTCCATCCCGGTTTTGGGGTGTCTCTGTGGTTTTGGGGGCGTTTCCAGGTGTCTCTCCCGGCTTTGGGGTGTCTTTTCCCGTTTTGAGGTGTCTCTCCCCGTTTTAGGGTGCCATTCCCCATTTTGGGGTGTCCCTCCCGGTTTTGGGGTGTCTCTCCCGGTTTTGGGGTGTCTCCCCCAGTTTTGGGGTGTCTCTCCCCATGTTGGGGTGTCCCTCCCGGTTTTGGGGTGTCTCTCCGTTTCGGGGCGCGCTGGCCTGCAGGCCCTGCCCCCGCTCTGGCCGGGGCTGATAAAGGGCCGCGGCCCCGCCCGGCCCCCCCAAACCAACCGCCGGGGCCCCAGAATCTGATAAGGCCTTATCAGCGCCGGGCAGCCCCGGCCGTTACCGCCCCCGGCCCCGAGCGCCCCAAAACCCCGGAGCGCCCCAAAATCCCCCAAAGGCCCAGGCCCTGCAGTCCCACGGCGCCAGGTGAGCTGGGTCCCTGGTTTTGGGGTTTGGGGGGGTCCCCGGTTTGAGGTTCCCTAGGTTTTTTGGCCACCCTGGGGTTTGGGGGGTCCCAAGGGGTTTGGGGGTCCCTAGTTTGGGGGTTTCGGGCTTTGGGGGTCCCTAGGGTTTGGGGCCACCCGGGGGTTTGGGGGTTCCCAGGAGTTTGGGGGTCCCTAGTTTGGGGGTTTGGGGGTCCCTAGGGTTTGGGGATGCCCGGGGGTTCGGGGGTCCCCGATTTGGGGGTCCCCAGTTTGGGGTGGTCAGGGTTTGGGGGCACCCGGGGTTTGGGGGTTCCCAGGGGTTTGGGGAGTTTGGGGTTCGGGGGCACCCGGGGCTTTGGGACACCCCAGTTTGGGGATTTTTGGGGTTCGGGGGCACCCGGGGGTTTGGGGGGGTCCCCAGGGCTTTGGGACCCCCCAGTTGTAGGACCGGGATTTGGGGGCACCCAGTGGTTCAGGGGAGAATTTGGCGGGGCGGCTGTGACCCCCAGGGGGTGGGGACCCCCAACTCCCGATTTGGGCAACCTGAGAGTTTGAGGGCCTGGGGCGTAATTTGGGGGGCACAGAGGGGTTGGCCTGCAGGCCCTGCCCCCGCTCTGGCCGGGGCTGATAAAGGGCCGCGGCCCCGCCCGGCCCCCCCAAACCAACCGCCGGGGCCCCAGAATCTGATAAGGCCTTATCAGCGCCGGGCAGCCCCGGCCGTTACCGCCCCCGGCCCCGAGCGCCCCAAAACCCCGGAGCGCCCCAAAATCCCCCAAAGGCCCAGGCCCTGCAGTCCCACGGCGCCAGGTGAGCTCTGCTCCCCCAAACCCCCCCTCGGGCCCCCCACCCAAGTTTTTGGGGTGTCCAAGGGGGGGGAGGGGGCAGGGGTGGGGTCCCAGAGACCCTCCCCCACTCCTCCCCCCCCGTGTCCGTCTGTCCGTCTGGGACACGGCGGATCCAGGTCAGGGACCCCCCCGGGTTTGGGGGTTCAGGGGGGTCTGAACCCCAAAACGGTGCTGGTTTGAGGTCCCTCAGGGATTTTGGGGTGCTGGTTTGGGGTCCCTCACGGTTTCGGGGTGCTCTTTGGGGTCCACCGGTTTTGGGGTGCTGACCCGGGCTCTCCGCAGCACCCCCTGCCGGCTTTGGGGTCCCCCATGGAGTTTGTGACGCTGGGGGGGCCGGAGGGGCCCCCCCCGTTCCCCGACGAGGCCGGAGCCTTCCTGGGGCTGGGGGCGCCCGAGGGGCTGGAGCCGGGGGGGCTGCTGGGCCCCTTCCCCCCGCCAGGTACCCCCTGTCACCTGTGTCACCCCTGTGTCACCTGGGTCACCCCCCGTGTCCCCTCTGTCACCCCCCGGGTCATCTCTGTCACCTGTGCCCCCCCTGTGTCACCTGTGCCCCCCCTGTGTCACCTGTGTCACCCCTTGTGCCACCCCCTGGGTCACCTCTGTCACCTGTGTTACCCTTTGTGCCACCTCCTGGGTCACCCCCCGTGTCCCCTCTGTCACGCCCCGGGTCCCTCCCATCCCCAGTGTCCCCTCTGTCCCCTCCCCATTCCGCCTGTCTCCCCTGGTGTCCCCCGTGTCACCTCATGTCTCCCCAAACCCCCACAACCCCCACCCCGTGTCACCTCATGACCCCCTGTCCCTACACGTGTCCCTGTGCCCTTCCCCAATGTCCCCAGTGTCCCCATGTCCCCCTGGGCCACCCCACACCGCTGTCCCCAATGTCCCCATGTCCCCCGGGCCACCCCTCACTGCTGTCCCCAATGTCCCCATGTCCCCCTGGGCCACCCCTCACCGCTGTCCCCAATGTCCCCATGTCCCCCGGGCCACCCCTCACTGCTGTCCCCAATGTCCCCATGTCCCCCTGGGCCACCCCTCACCGCTGTCCCCAATGTCCCCATGTCCCCGTGCCCCTGGCAGCTGTCCCTCCTTGTCCCTCCATGTCCCCCCTGTCCCCCCCAAGCCCTCCCTCATCTCTGTCCCCGTGTCCCCCCATCCCTAATGTCCCCCTGTGTCCCCCATGTCCCCAGTATACCCCAATGTCCCCCTGTGTACCCCTGTCACTGATGTCCCCAATGCCCTGCCATGTCCCCAGTGTCTCCATGTCCCCCGTGTCCCGCCATGTCCCCAATGTCCCCAAAACCCCCCAATGTCCCCCGTCCCTGATGTCCCTGTGTCCCCACTGTCCCTGCTGTCACTGGCATCCCCCTGTCCCCCTGTGTGTCTGATGTCCCCAATGCCCCCGCGTGTCCCCCTGTCCCCACTGATGTCCCCGTGTCCCCATGTGTGTCTGATGTCCCCAATGCCCCCTCGTGTTCCCCCATCTCTAATGTCCCTGTGTCCCCATGTGTCCCTGATGTCCCCGTGTCCCCAATGCCCCCCCGTGTCCCTGCCGTGTCCCCACTGTCCCTGATGTCCCCAATGCCCCCCCGTGTCCCGCCGTCCACACTGTCCCTGAAGGGACTGGGGGGACTGGGAGAGACTGGAGGGGGCTGGGAGGGACTGGGAGCACTGGGGGCACTGGAGGGACTGTGAGAGACTGGGAGCACTGGGAGGGCCTGGTGGGGCTCACTGGGGGGCACTGGTTCATACTGGGATGCACTGGGAAGCTTACTGGAGGTTGTACTGGTTTGTAGTGGAGCTTGTGCTGGTTTATACTGGGGCCTAGACTGGTTTATACTGGGGCACAGATTGATGTGTGCTGGCTTGTATTGGTTTACACTGGTCCATACTGGTTTATACTGGTCAGTATTGTGTTATGGAGATTGCTGTTGGTTTTTACTGGTTTATACTGGGCTGTACTGGGCAGAGCTGCAGGAGCACCCTGGGGCATGTGCTGGACTGCCCAGTGCCTTGTACTGGTCCATACTGGTTTATACTGGGGCCTGCTGTTCCATAGCAGTCTGTACTGGTTTATACTGGTCCATACTGGTTTATACTGGTGCTTGCTGTTTCATAGCAATCTATACTGGTTTTAAGTGGTCTGTACTGGTTTATACTGGTGCAGGGTATGCTATAGTGGTCTGTACTGGTTTATACTGGTGCAGGGTATCCTATAGTGGTCCGTGCTGGTTTATACTGGTGCAGGGTATCCTATAGTGGTCTGTACTGGTTTATACTGGTTTATATTGGTGCAGGGTATCCTATAGTGGTCCGTACTGGTTTATACTGGTGCAGGGTATCCTATAGTGGTCTGTACTGGTTTATACTGGTGCAGGGTATTCTATAGTGGTCTGTACTGGTTTGTACTGGTGCAGGGTGTCCTATAGTGATCTATACTGGTTTGTACTGGTGCAGGGTATCCTGTAGTGGTGTATACTGGTTTATACTGGTGCAGGGTATCCTGTAGTGGTCTGTACTGGTTTATACTGGTGCAGGGTATTGTATACTGGTCTGTACTGGTTTATAGTGGAGCTTGCTGTTCCATAGTGGTCCGTACTGGTTTATACTGGTTGATACTGGGCAGAGTGTGGGAACTGGGGGTGGGTGCTGGGCTGTGTGCTCTGGTGGTCCATGTGGGTTTATACTGGTCTGTACTGGTTTATAGTGGAGCTTGCTGTTCCATAGTGGTCCGTACTGGTTTATACTGGTTGATACTGGGCAGAGTGTGGGAACTGGGGGGGGGTGCTGGGCTGTGTGCTCTGGTGGTCCATGTGGGTTTATACTGGTCTGTACTGGTGTACACTGGTCTGAACTGGTTTATACTGGTTTGTACTGGTTGACACTGGACAGTCTGAACCTCAGGGGGTCACTGGGGTGGGTGCTGCCCTCTGGTGGTCTGTAGCGGTTTATACTGGGCCATACTGGTCTGTACTGGTGCAGACTGGTTTGTACTGGTTGATGTGGGACAGAATGTCCCGGTGGTGGGGAGGGGGGCATTGTGGGGGGCACTGGGGGTTTCACTGGGTCCGTGCTGGTCTTTACTGGTCCATGCTGGTGCTTACTGGTCCTTGCTAATCTGTACTGGTCTGTACTGGTCCTCACTGGTCCATACTGGTCTGTACTGGTCCTCACTGGTCCATACTGGTCTGTACTGGTCCATGTTGGTCTGTACTGGTCTATAATGGTCCGTACTGGTCCGTACTGGTCTATAATGGTCTGTACTGGTCCATACTGGTCTGTATTGGTCCTTACTGGTCCTCACTGGTCCGTACTGGTCTATACTGGCCTGTACTGGTCTATAATGGTCCGTACTGGTCCTTACTGGTCCGTTCTGGTCTATAATGATCTGTACTGGCCTGTACTGGTCCATACTGGTCTATAATGATCTGTACTGGTCTATAATGATCTGTACAGGTCTGTAATGGTCCGTACTGGTCCGTACTGGTGTGTACTAGTCTATAATGATCTGTACTGGTCCGTACTGGTGTGTACTGGTCTATAGTGATCTGTACCAGTCCGTACTGGTCCATACTGGTCCTCACTGGTCCGTACTGGTCTATAATGATCTGTACTGGTCCGTACTGGTGTGTACTGGTCTATAGTGATCTGTACCAGTCCGTACTGGTCCATACTGGTCCTCACTGGTCCGTACTGATCTATAATGATCTGTACTGGTCCGTACTGGTCCTCACTGGTCCGTACTGGTCCTCACTGGTCCGTACTGGTCTATAATGATCTGTACTGGTCCTCACTGGCCCGTACTGGTCTATAATGATCTGTACTGGTCCTCACTGGTCCGTGCTGGTCCTTGCCGGCAGAGGCGCGCGAGTGCGTGAACTGCGGGGCCACGGCGACGCCGCTGTGGCGCCGGGACGGCACCGGGCACTACCTGTGCAACGCCTGCGGGCTCTACCACCGCCTCAACGGGCACAACCGGCCCCTCATCCGCCCCAAGAAGCGCCTGGTCAGAGCCACACCCCGACCCCAAAAACACCCGGGACCCCAAAAACACCCCGGGGACCCTAAAATATCCCTGGGAACCCAAAAACACTCTGGGGACCCTAAAATATCCCTGGGAACCCAAAAACACCCGGGACCCCAAAATTACACCTGGGACCCCAAAATGTAGACCTGGGACCCCAAAAACACCCTGAGGAACCTAAAATAACCCTGGGAACCCTAAAATGCACCTGGGAACCCTTAAATACACCCGAGGACCCCAGAATTACACCTGGGAATGCCAAAAACAGTCCGGGAACACTTAAATACGCCTGGGAACCCCAAAAACACCCCGGGGACCCCAAAAACAGCCCAGGGACCCTAAAATACACCTGAGGAACCCTAAAATAACCATGGGAACCCCAAAAACACCCCGGGAACCGTTAAATACATCTGGGAGCCCCAAAAACACCGCAGGAACCCTTAAATACACCTGGGAACCCCAAAAACACCCCGGGAACCGTTAAATACATCTGGGAGCCCCAAAAACACCGCAGGAACCCTTAAATACACCTGGGAACCCCAAAAACACCCCGGGAACCGTTAAATACATCTGGGAGCCCCAAAAACACCGCAGGAACCCTTAAATACACCTGGGAACCCCAAAAACACCCCGGGAACCGTTAAATACATCTGGGAGCCCCAAAAACACCGCAGGAACCCTTAAATACACCTGGGAACCCCAAAAACACCCCGGGAACCGTTAAATACATCTGGGAGCCCCAAAAACACCGCAGGAACCCTTAAATACACCTGGGAACCCCAAAAACACCCCGGGAACCGTTAAATACATCTGGGAGCCCCAAAAACACCGCAGGAACCCTTAAATACACCTGGGAACCCCAAAAACACCCCGGGAACCGTTAAATACATCTGGGAGCCCCAAAAACACCGCAGGAACCCTTAAATACACCTGGGAACCCCAAAAACACCCCGGGAACCGTTAAATACATCTGGGAGCCCCAAAAACACCGCAGGAACCCTTAAATACACCTGGGAACCCCAAAAACACCCCGGGAACCGTTAAATACATCTGGGAGCCCCAAAAACACCGCAGGAACCCTTAAATACACCTGGGAACCCCAAAAACACCCCGGGAACCGTTAAATACATCTGGGAGCCCCAAAAACACCGCAGGAACCCTTAAATACACCTGGGAACCCCAAAAACACCCCGGGAACCGTTAAATACATCTGGGAGCCCCAAAAACACCGCAGGAACCCTTAAATACACCTGGGAACCCCAAAAACACCCCGGGAACCGTTAAATACATCTGGGAGCCCCAAAAACACCGCAGGAACCCTTAAATACACCTGGGAACCCCAAAAACACCCCGGGAACCGTTAAATACATCTGGGAGCCCCAAAAACACCGCAGGAACCCTTAAATACACCTGGGAACCCCAAAAACACCCCGGGAACCGTTAAATACATCTGGGAGCCCCAAAAACACCGCAGGAACCCTTAAATACACCTGGGAACCCCAAAAACACCCCGGGAACCGTTAAATACATCTGGGAGCCCCAAAAACACCGCAGGAACCCTTAAATACACCTGGGAACCCCAAAAACACCCCGGGAACCGTTAAATACATCTGGGAGCCCCAAAAACACCGCAGGAACCCTTAAATACACCTGGGAACCCCAAAAACACCCCGGGAACCGTTAAATACATCTGGGAGCCCCAAAAACACCGCAGGAACCCTTAAATACACCTGGGAACCCCAAAAACACCCCGGGAACCGTTAAATACATCTGGGAGCCCCAAAAACACCGCAGGAACCCTTAAATACACCTGGGAACCCCAAAAACACCCCGGGAACCGTTAAATACATCTGGGAGCCCCAAAAACACCGCAGGAACCCTTAAATACACCTGGGAACCCCAAAAACACCCCGGGAACCGTTAAATACATCTGGGAGCCCCAAAAACACCGCAGGAACCCTTAAATACACCTGGGAACCCCAAAAACACCCCGGGAACCGTTAAATACATCTGGGAGCCCCAAAAACACCGCAGGAACCCTTAAATACACCTGGGAACCCCAAAAACACCCCGGGAACCGTTAAATACATCTGGGAGCCCCAAAAACACCGCAGGAACCCTTAAATACACCTGGGAACCCCAAAAACACCCCGGGAACCGTTAAATACATCTGGGAGCCCCAAAAACACCGCAGGAACCCTTAAATACACCTGGGAACCCCAAAAACACCCCGGGAACCGTTAAATACATCTGGGAGCCCCAAAAACACCGCAGGAACCCTTAAATACACCTGGGAACCCCAAAAACACCCCGGGAACCGTTAAATACATCTGGGAGCCCCAAAAACACCGCAGGAACCCTTAAATACACCTGGGAACCCCAAAAACACCCCGGGAACCGTTAAATACATCTGGGAGCCCCAAAAACACCGCAGGAACCCTTAAATACACCTGGGAACCCCAAAAACACCCCGGGAACCGTTAAATACATCTGGGAGCCCCAAAAACACCGCAGGAACCCTTAAATACACCTGGGAACCCCAAAAACACCCCGGGAACCGTTAAATACATCTGGGAGCCCCAAAAACACCGCAGGAACCCTTAAATACACCTGGGAACCCCAAAAACACCCCGGGAACCGTTAAATACATCTGGGAGCCCCAAAAACACCGCAGGAACCCTTAAATACACCTGGGAACCCCAAAAACACCCCGGGAACCGTTAAATACATCTGGGAGCCCCAAAAACACCGCAGGAACCCTTAAATACACCTGGGAACCCCAAAAACACCCCGGGAACGGGACCCTAAAATACACCTGAGGAACCCTAAAATAACCCTGGGAACCCCAAAAACACCCGGGGACCCTAAAATACACCTGAGGAACCCTAAAATAACCATGGGAACCCCAAAAACACCCCGGGAACCGTTAAATACATCTGGGAGCCCCAAAAACACCGCAGGAACCCTTAAATACACCTGGGAACCCCAAAAACACCCCGGGAACCCTTAAATACACCTGGGAGCCCCAAAAACACCCCGGGGACCCCAAAAAATACACTTGGGAACCCTAAGACCCCCAACCCCTCCAAATCACCCCAAATCCCCTCAAGTTTCCCCCAAACCCTCTCTAGTCCCCCCAACCCTCCCCAATACACCTGGGAGCCCCAAAAACACCCCGGGGACCCCAAAAAATACACTTGGGAACCCTAAGACCCCCAACCCCTCCAAATCACCCCAAATCCCCTCAAGTTTCCCCCAAACCCTCTCTAGTCCCCCCAACCCTCCCCAAATCCCCCCTAAACCCCCCTTACACCCC